TTCTTGTGATTCTAATTTCCTTAGGTTCCTTATTTTCCTCCCTAATTTCTCTTCTTCCATTTCACCTCACTTTATTATCCACTATATTTCCTTCTATATTGGTTACTTCCCTTTTCGTTCCTTCTGTCACATCTTTCTCCTGGGTTGTTTCTTCTGTTTCCTCTTCACTAGTAAATTGTTGGTCAAAGAAATCTTCTGCTTTGTCAAGAGTATCCAGCCTAAATCTCTTTTCCTGCCATTCACCATGATACCCTCAGGCACCAACCACCTAAAATTCACATTATACTTTATCAGCTTTGATGTTAAAAATGATACAGTCTCCTTAATTCTCTTATGCTCTTCGATATTTGTTTTAATATGGTTAGTTGTTTTCCAGCATATTCAATTGGCTCATCTCTTGTCTTATGGAGAATTTCATCTTGAATCGATTTTTTAACTAGTCGGACCTCTCTTGGAAGGTTAAATCTCCTTGCATAACTTGTTTGAACTCTACAGAGTTTGTCCATCTCTGTAAACATCTCTTCCTTGTCCATTCCTACCATCTTTGCCAATATGTCAGCCATAAACTCCAATAAGTTTTCTCCTTTTTCTTCCTTCAAATTTTGAAATCTTAAGTACTGAGCTGCCTTTTCTACTTCCCAAAAAATTACTGTCATCTCTAATTCCTTATTAGCTTTTTCCAGTTTATCCGTTATCTTCCCTTTTTTCTTCTTTATCCATCTTAGTCTCAATTTCTACAATTTTTTCTTGATTTTTCCTAACTTCTTTTTGAAACCCTTCAAATTTCTCATCTATCTTTTTTATCTTTTCCTTTAATTCCGATCTCACCGCTCCCATCTCAATCTTCATATCCTCATGATTTTTAACCATCATCTCTTACATACTCAACATTATATCTTGTAAATCCTTTATAGAATTTGATCTTTCTTTTGGCAGCATTTCATCAACAGTTCTTTGTGTAGAAGGACTTGCTATGGTTGCTGTCATCATTTGTGTGGGTATTTTCCTAATTGTACCAATCCTGGATACATTTGAAGTACTTGTCATATTAAGCAGTCTTGTCACTATATTATTTTTAATCCACCACTCCCAATTTTTCCCCTTCTTCTCCCATCCCTCTACTTCTCTCACCCTTCACCTCCCCTCCCTTTATAACACAATATCACAATATATCTCCTCTTATTATTCCCCACTGGTCACAATTCTATAATAACCTAAATGATCAAATATCTCTATTCGCTTTTTCCTTTAAATCTATAATATAATATACTGATAGTAATAGTAATATAATGATGTCTTAATTAATCAGGGTTATAAATATATTAATTAATTTCAATAATTCTATATAATATATATGTTATAGTAATATCAATCCATTTATAGAAGATCTAATAATATTCAAATACATAAATCTATTAAATCTATTAGCAAATAATATATATACCTCTATATTGCTATCAAATTCAAATATTCAAGGGATGCAAAAAAAGAAGAAGGTAGCAAAGGGAAAAACAAGGGAAGAAAAAAAGAAAAGCTCAGTTCCAATTTTCTATTTGTTAAAGCAGGTACAAAAAAAGAAAAAAAATTGCTTTGAGTCCATTCTCTAGGATGTCTTCTAACTATAAAACAAAAAATCTGGTACTCTAGCAGCCACAGTTCTCTCCTTAACTTTGTTGCAAAGAATTACTGTGTATCTTCTGTCCCCTTTTTTTTTTTTTTTTTGGTCTCTCTCTGCTACCAGCAGGTATCTCTTTCACGTTGCAACAATGTCTGTCTTCTTTGAATTCGCTGTGTCACTCTCTAGTTTTTGTCCATTTTCTTACAGGAACATTTATACATTTATTTATTTATTATTTATTTATTTATTTTTAATCCTTCCAATGTCTCAGTCTAAAGTCCAAATAGGTAGAAAAATAATAGCTATTAAACAAAAACAAGAAAAATAAGGAAAATGAATGGAAAATAAAAGGAGCACTCAAAAAGAGAAAAGGAAAATAAACAACCAATCAGCCTTTTACTATCTTCGCTTCCACCATCTTCCTTTCTGTTCCGATGTCTGAATCAGACCTTTACATTTACAACGTCCATCTAAAAAGACCCCGCTGTTAATATTAAATCCAAAAAATTATTTTCCCCAAAACTCATATTCCGATCTCCAATCCAGGCTTAGTTTGCCGATTGAACACCCGATTGTTTTGTCACTCCTGTCTCTCACTTGGGTTTACTGTAATCTTCCGATCTTTCCGCTTACCATTTGTCTCCCCACTCTCTTACCTCCTCATCTAGAACTGACTCCGACTGCCAAGCTATCTTTCAACAATGATATATTGCACTTTCTTTTAAAGTACTTTCTCACTTGCTTTCAGGTTGTTACTTTCATCAGTTTGACTGTACCTTCATTCCGCTAGATCATCACTTGTATGAGCGGCTGTCAGCACTCATGGACAGCCATTGCTGGTCATCCGCTCCACGGTTCGCTCATCCCTGTTTAACTTTGATTCCCGCCACTGATCTTTGAAGACCCCTCTCCTTTAGGAAGCCCTCTGAGCTTCCCTTTGACTCAGTAGAGTCCTGCAGAACAGGGATAAGGGCTCGTGTTTCGCAAAGATTTCTGCTCGTACGTCCCTTCTCCCTGACAACTGGCTCTGCCCCCCACTTCTATCTTTCTAATTAACTTTAGTCCAGCTTCTAATGGGTCTTCAATTTTAAAGACCAAATCATCTGTAACTGCATGTAGCTTGTATTTCTCTTTTTTATTTCCATTCCTTTTATTTTTTTATTCATCTTGTCTAATATTTCTGGCTAACATTTCCAAAGTCAGTATAAATAGCAAAGGGCACAGTGGAGATCATGCTATGCTAGGTCTAGATTCTAACTGAGAAACACATTTTTAAATAATGACTGGTGCCTGCAATTGTAAATAATCCACTGGTGCCTGCAATTGTACATACTGAAATTTTCAGATCACATCTATTCTGAAAAATAACAGCATATTCAATTTCAAGCCAGGAGACTTCTGCAAAGAATTTTTAATGACTTTTTTAAAACTCTTAATCAATATCCCAAACTTTGTAAAAGAAATGAATGAAGCAGTAACCCTGGTAGAAGGCATATTTTTGTTTTAACAATTGTGTTGGTATAATTCACAAAAGTTCTCTTGAAATCTGTAAGTTTGAACAATAGGATTCCTAACTTACAATTGGTTGCTTAGCAACTATTCAAAGTTACACCCTATCTACACTGCTCAAAAAAATAAAGGGAACACAAAAATAAGACATCCTATATCTGAATGAATGAAATATTCTTATGAAATACTTTGTTCATTACATAGTTGAATGTGCTGACAACAAAATCACACAAAAATTATCAATGCAAATCAAATTTAGAAACCCATGGAGGTCTGGATTTGGAGTTACACTCAAAATTAAAGTGGAAAAAACACTACAGGCTGATCCAACTTCGATGTAAAACAAGTCAAAATGAGGCTCAGTAGTGTGTGTGGCCTCCACGTGCCTGTATGACCTCCCTACAATGCCTGGGCATGCTCCTGATGAGGTGGAGGATGGTCTCCTGAGGGATCTCCTCCCACACCTGGACTAAAGCATCCCCCAACTCCTGGACAGTCTGTGGTGCAATGTGGCGTTGGTGGATGGAGCGAGACATGATGTCCCACATGTGCTCAATTGGATTCAGGTCTGGGGAACGGTGGGCCAGTCCATAGCATCAATGCCTTCATCTTGCAGAAACTGCTGACACACTCCAGCCACATGAGGTGTAGCATTGCCTTGCATTAGGAGGAACTCGGGGCCAACTCCACCAGCATATGGTCTCACAAGGGGTCTGAGTATCTCATCTCGGTACCTAATGGCAGTCAGGCTACGTCTGGCGAGCACATGGAGGGCTGTGCGGCCCCCTAAAGAAATGCCACCGCACCCCATTACTGACCCACTGCCAAACCAGTCATGCTGGAGGATGTTGCAGGCAGCAGAACAATCTCCAGACCCTGTCACATCTGTCACATGTGCTCAGTGTGAACCTGCTTTCATCTGTGAAGAGCACAGGGTGCCAGTGGCGAATTTACCAACATTGGTGTTCTCTGGCAAATGCCAAACGTCCTGCACAATGTTGGGCTGTAAGCGCAACCCCCACCTGTGGACGTCGGGCCCTCATACCACCCTCATGGAGTCTGTTTCTGACCGTTTGAGCAGCCACATGCACATTTGTGGCCCGCTGGAGGTCATTTTGCAGGGCTCTGGCAGTGCTCCTCCTGTCCCTCCTTGCACAAAGGCGGAGGTAGCGGTCCTGATGCTCGGTTGTTGCCCTCCTACGGCCTCCTCCACATCTCCTGATGTACTGGCCTGTCTCCTGGTAGTGCCTCCATGCTCTGGACACTACGCTGACAGACACAGCAACCCTTCTTGCCACAGCTCGCATTGATGTGCCATCCTGGATGAGCTGCAGTACCTGACCCACTTGTGTAGTTGTAGACTCTGTCTCATGCTACCACTAGAGTGAAAGCACCGCCAGCATTCAAAAATGACCAAACCATCAGCCAGAAAGCATAGGAACTGAGAAGTGGTCTGTGGTCACCACCTGCAGAACCACTCCTTTATTGGGGATGTCTTGCAAACTGCCTATCCTTTCCACCTGTTGTCTATTCCATTTGCACAACAGCATGTGAAATTGACTGTCAATCAGTGTTGCTACCTAAGTGGACAGTTTGATTTCACAGAAGTGTGATTGACTTGGAGTTACATTGTGTTAAGTGTTCCCTTTATTTTTTTGAGCAGTGTATAAAAGAGAACTTACAATCTAATTCAATCCTAACCAGCTCAAGGTTGACTCAGCCTTCCACCCTTCCAAGATCGGTAAAGTGAGGACCCAGATTGCTGGGGGCAAGATGCTGACTCTGTAAACCACTTAGAAAGGGCTGTAAAGCACTGTGAAGTGGTATACAAATCTTAACACTAATGCTATTGCTATTCTGTGTTTATCCTTACCAGTATCAGTTGGTTCCTCTACTTCTTCTTCAGAATTATTCAGCCCTGGCTTGTTTGGGGGGATGGAGTTTGAAGTCCTTTTTGTCACCCAGAATCCTGCAGGAGCAGGAACTATCGGAGCTGAGTTACCCCGATTCTGAGAAACAAGTCAGATTATTTATTAACATAGCCTTCACTTTATTGCAAATATGCAGCACAGTTTCAACATTTCCTTCTAACCCTGACAGAATGGAATATGCGTGCTGGACTTCAATAGATAGTAGATGCTCTGAAATATACTGCATGATTCTAAAATGAAGTTTATGAAGCAGCTTGCTAGACTTTCCAAATTTGGATGAGAAAATAATGTTTACTAATAATTAGAGCTTTAAGAATTTATTTTTAAAAATCAGTGTAGAGAAGGGCAGAAAGGGAAAAAGCAAGCATTAAAAATATTCATATACAAAAACCTCATTTTCAGGTTTCTGACATAAAGCAGAAAATCTCTTGTTTTGGCATTTTTAAAATCCCTAAATTCAATTTTATGGCAGCAGAAGTTGCCCTGAGGATTTTTTTTTCTCAGAATAAGATTTGCCAACACACATTTATACCTTTGAAAGATACTGTTAAGTTAGCAATTCTGTTCCCTTTTTATAATTAATCCTTTTAAACAATTTTGTTGTGCACCGCTCTATTAATAAATTTTAGTCCCATGAACAAAATTGAGAGCCTGAGGCTTTGCAATTATATTTCATCTGTGTAGATTGATCTTTTCCCATAATGGGAATTTAATCAAACTTGATTATTCTTCCTAACAGCCTGCTAGATTAATTCCAGGCCATTTAATCCAGCACTCTCTAATCCCAGGAGTTTCCAAACTTGGCAACTTTAAGACTCGTGAACTTTCCCCTTGCAGTCTTGTCCACCCTATCCTGCTGCCTTACTTTGGCATTTTTCAACTTAATTCAGCTCAAGAACTTACAGGTAAAGCTGGAAAATTGGCATCATCCCCTTCTTCGATCTCATAGAAAGTCATGGTTTCTTCTACACCTTGAGGTTCCGCCCCATTCTCGGGTGAAAATCCATACTGGGACTCTTTATTTACACATTGCATCTGTCTGCGACTACGGCTGTATGAACTTCCAGAATGATCAATAGGTTAAAATGTCATCACCATCACCACCACCACTGTATATTCCAAGTCTAAAACATTTGGAAGAAAATGCCTACAGTTGCAACTACAGGACCAATGGACATTTGTGCTCAATTGTTACCAGACTGGCACTTTTGGCAGTTAAGATTCATGTATTGTGGCATTGGCCTGCTGCATCAACAAAGCAATAGTTTGGAATCTGAAACAGCAGAGATCCTGGGCTTCTTTGAAAAATGTCTCGGTTGGAAACGGTTTAACATTGCTTCAAGGATACAGAAAGTTGCATCCCTGGAACTGAAAAGCTTACAGGAACTAGGACAAAGTATTTTACAGGTAGGAACTTCACAGGTTCCCATCCCATGCGTATAAAGGTTGTCATGAAACCTAGCTAGAGAAATAATTTTGTTTCACAGTGGTTGGAGAAAGTTAATGGATAATCCATCTCAGTACAGCTGACCCCAAACGATAGCTGAGGAATAACACTGGCCGCCTAGTGCATTTGAGTAAAACAATAGCGTTACAGTTACTTACCGTGATCTATATGAGAAGTTATCATAGCTCTGATAACATCTCTTTCCTGGACTAGGATAAAATGCTATTTCTGGCCCAGTGATGTTGTTCCTGTTTATAAATCGGGCAGATCCCCTACATTTCAAAGGATAAAAAAACAAAGTAACTACGAATTTAGAAGGCTCAGGGTGGACTCTTAACTAACCCCATTCAAGTATCTCTGTAAACATGTCTGTGAATGAAGAAACTGCAAAGCAGTTCAGGCTCAGCTATCGTTTGGCATTGTGCAAGTGTGTGGAAATTGTGCAGGGTCCTGCCTTTCTCTTCCATGTAGCATATTACTTTTTAATTGCATGTCCCAAATGTGCTTTTTCGCAATGCAACTGGACTTTGTTTTTCCTTGAAGACCTTTTGCTTCTCATCCAAGAAGCTTCTTCAGTTCTGGAGAAGTGAACTGAAGAGCTGAAGAAACTTCTTGGATGAGAAACAGAAGTTCTTCAAGGAAAAACAAAGTCCAGTTGCCTTTTGATAAAGCATCTTTAGGACAACCAGGACCTGGATGACTGAGAATCTCCATAGACATTTTTAATTGCATGTCAACTATACCAAGTCTCACTTCAGTAAAAGTCAAGAACACCTTCAAGTCCACCTTAACTGCTGATGACTTGGTAAGACAATCATCCACAGACATGGGCAGTGTAGAAATTTAATAAATAAATATGGCTTTCCTGGCAGCAATACAGAATGTATTTGCTAGTATTGCTGCCTTATGGACTTCAAGTCCCAGAATTCCTGAGTCAGCCATAAAAGATTCCCCATCCCTGGCCTACTGGTTTTTCAGTTGTGGGGGAAATCAATTTTTGACTTGAATGGAACTGTTTAATATACAAATGTAGGATATATATGAATTACATTTGTATATTAAACAGTCCCATTCAAGTCAAAAATTGATTTCTCCCACAACTGAAAAACCAGTAGGCCAGGGATGGGGAACCTTTTATGGCTCACTCAGGAATTCTGGGAGTTGAAGTCCGTAAGTGATAAAAGAGCCAAGTTTCCCTACCCCTGTCCTAGATTAACTCAGTTATGTAAGTTTCTGGGTTTATGAGTCCATTGAAGAACATTGGGTACTATCCCTGTGTAGATCATATTACTGGGCAGGGGGTGAAAATGAGAGCATTTTATTGTCATTGTTACTTTAAAAGTTCTCCCAGTTTGGATATAGCATTAATTTACAGAACGCAGGTTTGGAAGAAGGGAGTAGATGAACCCAAATCACAAGTGAACCAGGTGTTGAAATTATGGTGAAGTAGGCTAGCAAATTCTCTCTCAAATTTAATCACAACTACAGGTCATTCTCACTTAATGATAGTAATTAGGACCAGGATTGGTTGCAAAGTGGGACATCACTTGACTATGGGGAGGCTATGATGGACAGAACTTCAAGGACAGGCTATAAGCCTTTTCATTCAGCACCATCATAACTTGTTTGATGAACTAACATCCATTAACCAAATACAGTTAGTCCTCGGCTTACGACCACAATGGAGCTCCAAATTTCAGTTGTTAGGTGAGACATTTGTTAAATGAGTTTTGCCCTATTTTACTACTTTTTTGCCACAGTGAATCACTGCAATTGTTAAGATAGTAACCTGTTGTTAAGTGAATCTGGCTTCCCCATTGACTTTGCTTGTCAGGAGGTTGCAAAAGGAGATCACATGACCTTGGGGCAAAATGGTCATAAATATGAACCAGTTGCCAAGCACCTGAATTTTGATCACATGATTATGAGGATGTTGCAAAGTGTGAAATAAGGTCATTTTTTTCAGTGCCGTTGTAGCTTTGAATGATCACTAAATGAACTGTGGTAAGTTGAGGACTACCTGTACTACCTCTAGGTACACTTCAGTTAAAATATTCCTTTCTAACATGTAAATGAAGTGTGTGAGAATAAAGGCTGAAGAAACAGGGAACAGCGAACAGTAGCTCTGTGGATATTTTATGACACTATTATGCTCAAATCAGCATGATGCTCATGGCCGAAATCAGCAATGCAACCATCTCTCAACTGCCTATCAGTGAAATGGGTGGGAGAGATTACAAGTCTCTTTACCTCGACATTCCGTATCCCCGGCCGGTTCTCTGTGAATTCTGAAAATGGTAATGATCGTATGGATTTATATGTCCATTTGGGGAGCAGTGGGCCAAAGATGAGCGATCTGATGTGATGCTCTGCTGCAGGCGAGGTGGCAGGATAGGGTGGCCTCTGCTGTAAGCTACAGTCATGTAGAGTTCCTTTCCATGCACTTTCTTGAACAGTTTCTTCCGTGCTTTCATATCCATGTCTGGGAGGGGAAATAAGAATAGGAAGACTAACTGAAACTTTGGCTAGGATTAATCTACAACTGGGTCAGTTTTCTTATTTTTTCAACTGGGGACTCTTTTGTTTGTTTGTTTGTTTATATTAAAGCAGCACTAGAGCAGGAGGGGAGAAATTTAGAACAATCTTAGGAAAAGTTGTCATGGAACAGTAAATGCTCCATTTTATCTAAAACTAAATGTGGGGAACAGAGAGGAAAGGAAGTTGCAGCAGAAGGGGCCTCATGTAAGAATCCAGGCAAGGTCCAATTGTATAATAAAAAGTGTTAAAGATAGGTTTACGGACATTGAAAAAAACCCATCTTTTGGAAACAAACAACAAGAAAGGATTATTTTTGTGTGTCATGTTCCAAAACTCAAACCCTCACCTCTTTTAGCCCGTTCAAGATAATTCTTCAGATATGAGAGTAATTTAATAGATCTGCAGGATGGTAATTAGAGAGCAGGTTTCACATCTTGGGGGACTAGACAGTGGGAATGCTCTTCGAAGATACAAAAAAAGCTGATATTTTAAGTGAAGTGTCTACTTATAGAAAATCAACCGTGGCCATCTCCTTCATTATCTCTCCAGATATCTACTTTATGAGTACATTTAAAGTTATTAACAATGATAAATTCTTGAAGCAAGATTTGTTGCAGCAGGTCCTTAAAAGATTGTGAACTTAAAATTTGTTTGCTTTTTGGGCAGAGAAAACTTTTCAATTATATACCAGTAAAATATTTTGATCTTGCCACACGTTGTGCCAGATCTAAAAACATACTCCTTACAGTTTCTTTACAGTTTAACACAGGAAAATGTCAGGGATTAAATGTGTGTTCACCTAATGAATGCTTATAAGAAGGTTGATTTTAATATTCTTTATTTTCTGAATGCTCACCTAGTTTTATGATTTTGTGTCATTGTAACTTTATTGCAGTATCTATTCATGTTTACATCAGTTCTACTTTACCTGGTTAAATCTGCATTAAGCCTGCATTTCAATTAATAGGGCAGTGTTTCTCACAACCTTAGCAACTTTAAGATGGACAGATTTAATTTAACTGAAATCCACTCATCTTAAAAATTGGCCCGGTTGAGAAACATTGTCAAAGAGAAAGGAGCTGGATGATGAAGAATGAGAAATGGATGACAAATTCATTCCCAGACAGAAGTTTATACTATTGGAGAAATTGCAGGTTGCAAGCTTCATTACTACTCTACCCAGCCATCCCATTACTATCTTCACTTATGGGTGTACCCACCTGGTATCTTCTGATAACTTCCTCCTTTTCTGTTGGACATCACGTTCCAGGTAGGAAGTGGAGTGACTTGAGTCACAGGCTTCAAATTTACCAACGGAACAACATGCCTACAAATCATCCCAACCAGAATTAATACGATCATAAAACAAAACTTAGAATCATAATGATACAATATCTAAGGTTAAAACTTTCCATGGCTAGTTATCTTTAAGAGTCCCACACAAAGATGATTGAGTTTGCACAATGATGCCAACTGCTAATGTAAATTGACTTATATCACAATTAGAATTTAAATTAGTTGTAACCTTATATAAGTTACTTGGACAAAGTATAGAATCATAGGACTTGAAGGTTTTCTAGTCCAATCCCCTGCCCAAGGCGGGAAATCTTATACCATTCCAGTCTCTTTTTAAAAGCCTGCAGTGATGGAGCCCCCACCACTTCTGGAGGGAAGCCATTCCACTGGTTAATTGCTCTGTCAGGAAATTCCTCTTTAGTTCCAGGTTGGATCTTCCTCTGACCTGTTGCTTCTTCTCCTGCACTCAGGTACTATGGAGAATAAATCTCCCGTTTCAGCCTTTCAAAACTTGGAGGACAGCTATCATGTCACCTCCAAGCCTTCTCTTCATTAGGCTATATACTAACTTAAGTAAAATAGCCTGAAGAAATACCAAAACTGCAAGCCAGTAGTAAAAATAAGCCCATTTTCATCAAATTGTCAGAGAACTTTCCATTTCCCCTTTTACAGGTATTATTCTCTTAGTAGGTTTCATATTGTGTTCTTTTGTAATACTATAATTTGTTGAGTTTTCAGAGAACTCAAACAAAAAATGAAGAATCAGGAAATATATTAAAGATTAATATATTTATTATCACAAAAGCTTCATGGATCGCAAGACATTTGATCCATGCAAAAAAACAACAACCCCCAAATACAATTGTTTTAAAGGTTCTATAAGACTATGTCTTAAATGTTTAAGTAACAAGGTTACACCAGGACAAAAATTAAAGCTTTCATTTTCAACACACCTTTGCCTGGGAAATAAAATTAAAACCTTTTCATGTTAGAAATTGTTGAACTGAATCCCCCATATTGTAAAAAAATTAAACCCAGCCTATCTGAGGAAATGATATGGAAAGTGAGACATCAATTTTGTATAGTATTAGTTATAACACTGTCAACATGATTTCGTAGCTAAAATTCTGATATCGATAGCTCTCCCAATGAATACAATTATATGATTAAAAGGAAAGAGATACATACTTCTCTGCCAGCTCTTCAATGAAGACGGTCACCATATTATCCTGTCCCACATCCTGTATATGGGCATTGTAATATTTCCCCCCCGTTTCTAGCCGTACCTGGGAAAAAGAAGACTCTAACTGAACCCAAAGAGATACTCAGAATACTTGAGTTTTTCCACAGCCACACTGCCAAAAAGTGAAAATAGCCAGACTCAACTTCTGAGCTGATGTGTTTCATTTTTGAAAGCTATTCCAGCCTTGCCTTGCCTTAGATCCAACAAACTTTGTAATCACTGCTTATAATCTGAAGTTAATTTATATTTTCTGCCCTGGACATTTGCTACAGCAGGTATCAGGTTGTAAGAATCCATATGTTATGAAATGGCTGGACTGCAACCTCTTAGATATGATTAATATTAAAAAATATGTTTTTAAATATGTTATGTATATGTAAATCTACGTATGTATAGTATATGTAAATCAATATGAGACAGTATGTGTAAATATGAGACGGTATATGTAAATCAAAATAGTAGGCAGAGGATTTTTTATTTGTGTCCTTTTCTAGTAACATACATACATACACACACACACACACACCAGAGGTGGTATTCAACCGTTTCGCACCGGTTCAGGCGAACTGGTAGCAGTAATTTGGCGTGGGTCGCTCAACCGGTGGCAACCCCTGCTGGCCACGCCTCCAGCCTGGTTGCCCCTGTAGAATAAACAGGCAGAGAAGGAGGCGAGCAGCAGTCCAGTTGCACTGAAAAAGAGTCGCCTCCAGCCATCTCTTTTGCAGTGCCAGAAGCTTCCCCCAACCAGCCAACTACTCTCCTCCTCCTCGGCCATATAGAACAAACAGGCAGAGAAGGAGGGGAGTAGCGGTCCATTTGTGCTGAAAAAGGAGGGGCTGGGGACCGAAAAAAGTCGCCTCCAGCCACCTCTTTCAGAGTGCAGCACCAATGGCCTCAATGGGATGGACCTGCATGGCCGGTGGCTAGGATACAGCGGTGGCACATTGGAGAAGTGCAGCAAAGCAGCTTGAAGAAGCCAATAGCCGCCACGTGTTTTTTTCGGTGTGGAAAGAAGGAAGGTAAGGTTTCAGGCAGTCGGGAAAGCTGCCTAGCCCAGAGCTGCTGGCAGGGGGGTGGGGTGGCTGCAGCACATGCCTCGCTTGAATTTCCCAGCCCCAAAAGTGGGAGGGGAGGAAGTCCTGCCTTGCCTGCTGGCTTTTTCGGGCAACATGGGACAGAGACTGGCTGGGAAGAACCCTTGTAACGAGCGATTCTGCCGGGCACTTGGAAGCCTGTGTGTGTTTCAGGTGAGTCTCCTCTCCTAGCTTTAGAAAGAGAGAGAAAGGGAGGAAGAGAAAGGGAAAGAGAGAGACAGAAAGAGAGGGAGAGAGAAAGAGAAAGAGAGAGAGAGAAGAAAGAAAAGAGAAAAGGGAAAGAAAGAATTGAAATATCTAAAGGATAAGAAAGAGTGGGGAATTAGTAAAACTAAGACAAAATTAGATGAATTTTTTATAGGAACTGAGGAGATGATGATAAAAAAAATCTATCAAGTCTTATTGGAATTTAAATTGGAAGAAGAAAAAGTAAAGGAAACGGTTATATGGATGAAAAATTTTGGGTATAGCATTAATTTAGATGATTGGCAATTATTATGAAAAAGAAATTAAAAAATGACTTTAACTATACCATTTAAGGAAAATCTGTACAAATTATTTTATAGATGGCACATACCTCCATCGAGTTTGGCAACAATGTATTCAAAACTTTCCCCCACATGCTGGAAATGTAATAAAGAAAAAGGAACATCATAATTTGTGGTGGAGTTGCAGAGAGGCCCAAAAATATTGGCATAAACTACATAAAGGGCTGGAAGAAATATGTGGGACGAAAATAGAACATAGACTGGAGTTCTTTCTGTTGGGGATTAATATCAGGAAATACGATAAGGAAATTATTATTGGATTTAGCAAAGTAATGACAAAGATTGATGTTAGGAAGTCTTTACCATGTTCAATATTTTTAATGTATTTTTTGTTTATGTTTGTGTTTGTTTAATAAAGAAAAACCTTTTGAAAGAAAGAAAGAAAGAAAGAGAGACAGAGAGAGAGAGAGAGAGAGAGAGAGAGAGAGAGAGAGAGAGAGAGAGAGAGAGAGAGAGGAAAGGATAGACAAAGAAAAACGATGGGAGGAAGGCAGAGAAAGAAAGAAAGAGGGAGGGAGGAGAAAGTGAATGAGATTTATGGATAGATAGATAGATGGAAGGAGGGGGGCGAAGGAGAGGAAAAAAAGGAGAGGAAGGAAGGACACAAACCCTGGCTTCAGTAGACTCTTTGAAACAGCACAGCAATCTAGGGCTGGAAGGGATCAGAGATCATCTTCTAGTCAAACTTGGTAAGTTTAAGACTTGTGGACTTCAACTCCCAGAATTCCTGAGCTAACGAGACTGGAGGAGGAATTCTGGGAGTTGAAGTCCACAAGTCTTAAAGCTGTCAAGTTTGAAGACTCCTGTTCTAGTCCAACCCCCTGCTCCAGCAGGAGATCCTCACAGAATCATAGAACAGCAGAGTTAGAAGGAACCTTGGAGGACATCTAGTTCAACCCCCTGCTCCAGCAGGATGTGCTAGGAACTTCTTTCCCAGATCTTTAATTTTAATCAAAAAATAAAAGTCTGCTTTCTTTGATTGGCAAGCCTCCGTTTAAGTCTTTGTTTTGGTTCATTTTTTGCTTAAGCGTACTGCCAGACCTTACGCACTGTAACAGAGAGGAAAATTGGCAGAGGAGTTTATTAGGACAAGGCTGCCATGCAGAGAAAGGCAGAGATAGTCGTTCACTTATGACCACAATTGAGCCCAAAATTTTGGTTGCTAAGCAAGAGTGTTGTTAAGTGAGTTTCACCACATTTTACTCAATCCATGACATCTCCTGGGTCTAACGGTCATGTGCAGGCTATGGAAGTAAGTCTGAAGACGTGTGCAATGTTCTAATGTACAGAACTTATAATTAAATGTGTGGCAGAAAGTGGATTATGGGTGTGTTTTTTCAAACGCAGTGAGGTTGAATGTGTATAGTTTTAGAAGAGCTCTCTCTGTGTGTGTACATACACACAGTATATATAGTATATCTTTTTGTGTGTCTATACACACACTATACTATGTAATCTGTTTGTACACATGTGGCATATATACATAGGATTAAATAGTGTATTTTGGATGTTCAGTAGTAGTAAATAAATAGAGAGGGAAATTGTATCTCTTTGAGGCAAGGAGAGGCCAGGCAAGGCCCCACTTGACATGAGTGATGTCAAGTTGGCCACTCCCACCCTATCACACGACCACCAAGCCACGCCCACCCAGTCACATGACCACCAAGCCACGCCCACCAAATAAGCCATGCCCACAGAACTGGTAAAAAAATTTGAATCCCACCACTCACACATGCACACGCACACACACGTGTGTGTATGTATATGCATATATACACGCTTTTGATAGAAGCCAGAACCATTTTAGAAATAACTCTGTTAAGCACTAAAATTATATGAGGAGAAAACAGAAAATATTGTCACCTCTTTCTCCTGCAGTCACAGAAACAAAGTAGTATAATGTCCGGGGATAATGCAAAACCCATTTATAAAGTAGGATGAAGATTTATCGGAAGTTAAATTTATGTTTCTTTTGAAAACTCACTGGAACTGGTATCAGGTTCGTAACTTAGCACCAGTGAGATCTGAGAAGATCTCAGCTAATGAAGCTCACCTCATTTGGGATAAAGATTGTAAGAACATGCAAGCCAAACAGAAATTTATGTATCAAGAAATAGTCCATACATGGAATTTTTCTCAAAAACAAGAGACCTAATTAGAAACTTTTGTTATTCTAGGGTCAGAGATATCAAACTCATATTCCAGAATTAAGATTGTGGTATGGAACCTTCGACATAGAAAGCATAGCCTTATTCTCTGAGCCACAGAAACCTGGTTCACTCACATCAAAATCAACAGAAACAAGATGGAGCAAATCTATAAATTTTCAAGATTTATACTTGTTTACTCTAGTAAGTCATGATAGTAAGTCCATTTTTCCAATAGGCCCTAAAGGGTTCATCAAGTTAAATGTAATAAAGACGCTGCACAACACATATCTCTAAGGGTTGTTGGTCATCAAAGTGGAAAATTGGGGATAAAACAGTGGAGTCAGTGGAATTATGAAGAGGAAACCTCAACAAAGCCTCAATTTAACTGAGGTCTTCTTATACAATAAGGAAGCTCAGAAAACTAACTGAAGACTATTCCTACTTCTGTCAAAGTACTTTTAAATGAGAAATCTAGGTCAGGATCAGAAACCAGGAACTTGTCCAAAGTTGCTTCAAACAATTATCTTTACTAAACAAACACAAAGCACTAACCTGACATTTGTCTCCTAAATAGTACTGTCTTCCAGCAAACACCAAGTAATCTGTTTTTTGAAGTTCTACAAAGGAAGATCAAAAGAAAACTTAAGCTATTTATCAAGCATCCATGGATGCTATC